TGATGAGTAAACCAAAGTGAATGAAACAACAACCCTAACTTTGTCTGTTCTTTTCAGTTTACCTTTAATTTGATTACTGCTTAACCTGCAGAGTCCTGCCTGTAAAGACCTTCCTTCCGACCATTACCAGTGTAAATCTGTCCCCACCAGCACCGTGGCACCTCATAAATGTGCATAACCTTAACTGCAACACGGAAGATAGCTTGCATGTAATTAAGCCATTGTGCGGTGCAATTTACAGTTTATGATTTGTGTTGCTCGGCAGCCTAAAGAAAAACTATTGTAGCACTGGCAAGGCTGAACAGACAACGAGCAGCCGAAAAATCAGCATTGACTGCAGTGCGCAAACACCCGTATTCCTCACACCGCCGCCAAAAGCCCAACGTCTCTCCCTTGCGTCTGGGTCAGCCATCCCAACTCCCAATCATGGCAATGCACAGCGTAATGCACATGCTTTCCCGTGATTGGCGGGGAGCAGGGTGACTGACAGCTGCGTTCAGTGCGCAAGGGCTGGCTCATGATTACGGCCTTAACCTGGAAAAAATATTTAAGGAAATTAAAGCAACTTACAAGCTTATTTTATTTTATCGATATTCCAAAAGTTAGGTTCAGAATTCAAATTTATAATTCACCTATATAGTGAACAAAAATATAAATGCAAAACTTATGGCTTTGCTCACATTTTATTGATGATCCATTTCCTGCACATTTGAGGCACCTCAGAATGTTGATTGAGCTGCATGATGTCCACCTGGGGGTTCCTTCTTAATAAAATGTGCAGATTTTTGGCAACACAGAGTCCCAGATGTACGATAAACCACCTCCAATGTTGCTTTGGTCAGCACGTTCAAGCACTTTCACAATCACAGACCACTAGCTCAGTGTAACAGGTGGCTAATAACGATTCCGCTTGCTATTGTGCCAGATGTGCATACAGTATATGTGAGTATTTTGGTCTAGTGTTCTGTCACTTTAAAATACCTGTGTGGTTGCCTTTAAGGGAAGGCACCTTGTGATCTTCCCAATTTCAATCGCCTGTGCAAGTGTATCATACGTAAGTGCTGAAAATAGCAGTTCCAAGACAGCTCAGTGATTGTCCATTTTCAGAATAAACCAACTCAACTGGGAATCCTGGTCTGCGGTGCCATTACATCACACAATGCAAGATCACACCTGTTACACGTACAGTGCTTGCAGAAAGTCTTACGATGCTTGCTTAATTTGGTAATAATGTTGCAAATTTACTGGTTTCATAACAAAAGTCCATTGACAAGCAATGCTTAATGTATATCCACATATCATCAACACAGACATTTTCTTTTTAATAAGTGTCGTAATTTTTTTGACTGACTCATTCAGTTCTGTTCTTGCCATTTTGCTGTTAAAAGCAATTGTAGTCATTGGCTCCCAAAGGGATACTAAACACAAATGTTTGGTGTTTTATGTCTCTACAAAAGGTGTTACTAATTAAAATGCACCCAATGAGACAGCTTGTCAGTGAACTTTTTAAACTCAGAACTTGAATTTTTCCCTCAGCAGCTCAGCCCAAATCCTAGGTGTCATCTTAGATATAAGCTTCTCATTCAAATCTCTAAATTCAGTAAAATCTTTATAGACCATACCTGTCCACCAACCGTTGCCCGTCCACCGACTGCCAGCTTCACCTCTTGATTCGGATTTTGTTTTCGGATTGTATTGGCTCTGACTTGGACTGTCGATCTTGGATTTTTGCCGCCCTCTAATAAATTATTTCTCAGTATCTGATCTGAAGTGTGACCTCATATGTAGCTGTATGCTTTGGTGCTGACTCTACCCAGAGTGAGGATAAACTGCAGTGCATTATCAGATCCAGGAATATCCAGGGAAAGGAAGTACACAGCAAAGATCATTACTGATTCTTACCAACCAGCGTACCACCTATTCCAGAGATTACCCTTTGGCAAACATTTCCGAGCAAGGAAAAACAAACCAGCACTTAAACAAGAACTGAGAGACTGAGATCTGGTACTGGGACGGCCAGGACATTACTTTGAGTTGTCTTTCAATTTTCATTTCCAGTTCTTACTCAAGTTTGAGGCTTGTTGTGGGTCGTTGCCTTGTTGAATAATGAAGGACTGCTGATCATCTGCAATCCTGAGGGAATAGCATGCCTATGAAATATGCTGTGATAACAAGGCTGTTTCAGATTGCCATTGATTTGGTAAAGATCACTACCTGTGTCACAGCAAAGCAACCTCAACAATGACATTGTCCTCCAGTCCCCTTGCTTTGGGCAACTAATTCATAGGCCTATTTCCTCTTGGGTTAAATATTCTCGCTGAACAGTTGGGGACCTTGAATGTCTGATTTAATTCTTTTTGGAACACTAGTTACAACGTAATCCTTTGGACAGCCATGTTTGTCAATTTGTCCATTTCTTCCTTGTTGAGTCACTGGCATGACGGTATGGAAACAGTTGCTTGCATGGAAAAACTGAAAAGCATACCCTGTGTGTCATTCA